GCTACGCTACTGGGCTCGGCATATACACAAGACATCATAAGAGATCTGACATACGTCTGACAATGTCTTGACGTCATACACGCGTCACAAGAGTTGCCGCATGTCACAAACACAACACAAAACATAAACTGGCGTCACAGTCACCAGTCTTGTTGACGTCATACATCCAAAACATACATTCACTGACGTCATGGGGTTACTTTCAACCAGTGACGTCATTAAACTATCTCGAACAGCTCGTGACGAATGTATGTATAATAAACGTTCAATTCCGTCGCATGAAAAATATTGCATTTATAGCGACATAGCAACTATTCTTACAGCCTCTGACTAAATTGTCCATTCATAAAAAAAAAAAAAACATATACACCCACAGACCCCCCCCCCCCCCCTCGCCCCCAATTCAAACTGGTCACGGGGAATGTATGACGTCACTCTCTTCCAACAGGTGAAGTCGGCCAGATTTTTCCACCGCGGCCAACACTTGCCGGCCAAGCTCTCCTACAATTCCGGTTCCGTTTCTGATGGTCGAGAAGGAGAAGAAGACCGGATCCGGCTTAGGCCAAGTGAAGTGGAACGCTGAAACATCGACATGATAGGTTTAAGGCAAAATAGGTTTAAGACAAGATAGGTTTAAGACATGACATTTTTAGGCAAGATAGGCTTAAGACAAGAAATTCATAAGACAGCGTCAAGCTCAATAAGGTATTCGTAATTTACCGCAAGGTATTACTAAAGTAATCTATGGAAATGCGAATTATTTTTCTAACCGCAACACCGCAAAATATAAACCATCCTTAGTCATCTCACTCTAACATAAAATATCATCGAACAATAATTCACTGTTATCCTAACCCAAACATGAACAAACCACAGCTCTAACACGTTTGTCACCTAACCCTAACCATCACATCAACTAGCCATGACCCACTGTAGTTCACTTACCCGTAAGCCTCAGAACATCACACTTAGTACCATCGTTATTCATCCATCCCTAACCCAAGCATCATCAAACCAAGACCCACTGTAAGTCACCTAACTCCTTCCATTACATCAACAAATCTGGGCCCAGCGTTATTTACCTAACGCTAAGCCTAACCCTAAAACCCACCTTAATATACCTAACCCTAACCCACACACCATCAAACTTACACACATCTTCAGTCACCTAACCCTAAGCCTAACCCTAAAACCCACCTTAATAAACCTAACCCTAACCGACACACCATCAAACTTAGACCCATCTTCAGTCACCTAACCCTAAGCCTAACCCTAAAACCCACCTTAATATACCTAACCCTAACCCACACACCATCAAACTTAGACCCATCTTCAGTCACCTAACCCTAAACCTAACCCTAAAACCCACCTTAATATATCTAACCTTAACCCACACACCATCAAACTTAGACCCATCTTCAGTCACCTAACCCTAAACCTAACCCTAAAACCCACCTTAATATACCTAACCCTAAACCACAAACCATCAAACTTAGACACATCTTCAGTCACCTAACCCTAAGCCTAACCCTAAAACACACCTTAATATAGCTAACCCTAACCCACACACCATCAAACTTAGACACACCTTCAGTCACCTAACCCTAAGCCTAACCCTAGAACCCACCTTAATAAACCTAACCCTAACCCACACACCATCAAACTTAGACCCATCTTCATTCACCTAACCCTAACCCTAAAACCTACCTTAATATACCTAACCCTAACCCACACACCATCAAACATAGACCCATCTTCAGTCACCTAACCCTAAGCCTAACCCTAAAACCCACCTTAATATACCTAACCTTTACCCACACACCATCAAACTTAGACCCATCTTCAGTCACCTAACCCTAAGCCTAACCCTAACACCCACATTAATATACCTAACCCTAACCCACACACCATCAAACTTAGACACATCTTCAGTCATCTAACCCTAAGCCTAACCCTAACACCTACATTAATATACCTAACCCTAACCCACACACCATCAAATTTAGACCCATCTTCAGTCACCTAACCCTAACCCTAAAACCCACCCTAATATACCTAACCCTAACCCACACACCATCAAATTTAGACCCATCTTCAGTCACCTAACCCTAACCCTAAAACCCACCCTAATAAACCTAACCCTAACCCACACACCATCAAACATAGACCCAACTTCAGTCACCTAAGCCTAACCCTACAACAAACCTTAATATACCTAACCCTAACCCACACACCATCAAACTTAGACACATCTTAAGTCACCTAACCCTAAGCCTAACCCCAAAAACCCACCTTAATATACCTAACCCACACACCATCAAACTTAGACCCATCTTCAGTCACCTAACCCTAAGCCTAACCCTAAAACCCACCTTAATATACCTAACCCTAACCCACACACCATCAAACTTAGACCCATCTTCAGTCACCTAACCCTAAACCTAACCCTAAAACCCACCTTAATATATCTAACCTTAACCCACACACCATCAAACTTAGACCCATCTTCAGTCACCTAACCCTAAACCTAACCCTAAAACCCACCTTAATATACCTAACCCTAAACCACAAACCATCAAACTTAGACACATCTTCAGTCACCTAACCCTAAGCCTAACCCTAAAACACACCTTAATATAGCTAACCCTAACCCACACACCATCAAACTTAGACACACCTTCAGTCACCTAACCCTAAGCCTAACCCTAGAACCCACCTTAATAAACCTAACCCTAACCCACACACCATCAAACTTAGACCCATCTTCATTCACCTAACCCTAACCCTAAAACCTACCTTAATATACCTAACCCTAACCCACACACCATCAAACATAGACCCATCTTCAGTCACCTAACCCTAAGCCTAACCCTAAAACCCACCTTAATATACCTAACCTTTACCCACACACCATCAAACTTAGACCCATCTTCAGTCACCTAACCCTAAGCCTAACCCTAACACCCACATTAATATACCTAACCCTAACCCACACACCATCAAACTTAGACACATCTTCAGTCATCTAACCCTAAGCCTAACCCTAACACCTACATTAATATACCTAACCCTAACCCACACACCATCAAATTTAGACCCATCTTCAGTCACCTAACCCTAACCCTAAAACCCACCCTAATATACCTAACCCTAACCCACACACCATCAAACTTAGACCCAACTTCAGTCACCTAACCCTAAGCCTAACCCTACAACAAACCTTAATATACCTAACCTTAACCCACACACCATCAAACTTAGACCCATCTTCAGTCACCTAACCCTAAGCCTAACCCTAAAACCACCTTAATATACTTAACCCTAACCCACACACCTTCAAACTTAGACCCATTTTCAGTCATCTAACCCTAAGCCTAACCATAAAACCCACCTTAATATACCTAACCCTAACCCACCCACCATCAAACTTAGACTCATTTTCAGTCACCTAACCTTAAGCCTAACCCTTAAACCCACCTTAATATACCTAACCCTAACACCATCAAACTCAGACCCATCTTCAGTCACCTAACCCTAACCCTAAAACCCACCTTAATATACCTAACCCACACACCATCAAACATAGACCCATCTTCAGTCACCTAACCCTAAGCCTAACCCTAAAACCCACCTTAATATACCTAACCCTAACCCACACACCATCAAACTCAGACCCATATTCAGTCACCTAAGCCTAACCCTAAAACCCACCTTAATATAACTAACCCTAACCCACACACCATCAAACTTAGACCCATCTTCAGTCACCTAACCCTAAGCCTAACCCTAAAACCCACCTTAATATACCTAACCCTAACCCACACACCATCAAACTTAGACCCATCTTCAGTCACCTAACCCTAAACCTAACCTTAAAACCCACCTTAATATACCTAACCCTAACCCACACACCATCAAACTTAGACCCATCTTCAGTCACCTAACCCTAAGCCTAACCCTAAAACCCACCTTAATATACCTAACCCTAACCCACACACCATCAAACTTAGGCCCATCTTCAGTCACCTAAGCCCTACCCTAAAACCCACCTTAATATACCTAACCCTAACCTACACACCATCAAACTTAGACCCATCTTCAGTCACCTAACCCTAAGCCTAACCCTAAAACCCACCTTAATATGCCTAACCCTAACCCACACACCATCAAACCTAGGCCCATCTTCAGTCACCTAACCCTAAGCCTAACCCTAAAACCCACCTTAATATACCTAACCCTAACCCACACACCATCAAACTTAGACACATCTTCAGTCACCTAACCCTAAGCCTAACCCTAAAACCCACCTTAATATACCTAACCCACACACCATCAAACTTAGACCCATCTTCAGTCACCTAACCCTAAGCCTAACCCTAAAACCCACCTTAATATACCTAACCCTAACCCACACACCATCAAACTTAGACACATCTTCAGTCACCTAACCCTAAGCCTAACCCTAAAACCCACCTTAATATACCTAACCCACACACCATCAAACTTAGACCCATCTTCAGTCACCTAACCCTAAGCCTAACCCTAAAACCTACCTTAATATACCTAACCCTAACCCACACACCATCAAACCTAGTCCCACAGTTATTCACCAAACCCTGACCCACCGTTTGTCTCCGAGAGTTTAAATTTCCCGGTCGGCTCATCCCTTTGGTCAAAGGTCCGGTGGTAGTCGGCGTGCCAGAGTGGATGACAGACACCAACAAAACAGATGACCTGTGACAGCAAAGCAAATCAAATGTCAAGGTCCAACCAAATTATTATACTGAATGTCGTCAACACAATGGATAACGACCGTACAACAGAACCATGCTGCCTTAGATATGTCTTCAACATCATCGTCATCATCATTATCATTATCTTCATCATCGTCATCATCACCATCATTATCGTCGTCATCATCACCATTATTATCGTCATCGTCATCATCATCATCATCATCATCACTATCATCATCATCATTATCACCATCGCCATCATCATCATTATCATTATTCCTATGTACCCTTATGGAACATAAGGGCACAACCCAACCTCTCCATCGTACTCAATTTTGGAAGATTTATTTTAATTAGGTCCATGACATTCCTGCAATGAGTGCTTCACTGACACCTGATTTTCCACGTCAGGTATGTATGAAACCGTACATTGTATGTACATCGACGTGACATAGACGTGACACAAACGTGTCATAGACGTGACATCGATGTGACATCAACATGACATATCTCACCTGTAGTTTCTTGTCTATGAAGATGCTCTCGGGGTTCTGCTCATACACCTTATACGGCATGAGGACACCATTAAAAGCCCACTGAAAGTCCCGGAAATACCTGTTCAATGCGTTCATATATATATATATATATATAGATATATATATATATATATATATATATATATATATATATATATATATATATATATATATATAATATATATATATATATATATATATAATTTAATATATGCATGTATGTATATATATATATATATATATATATATATATATATATATATATATAATTTAATATATGCATGTATATATATATATATATATATATATATATATATATATATATATAAATTCATTTATATATACGGATATATATATATATATATATATATATATATATATATATATATATATATATATATATACAGATTTGAAAAGATTCTCTATGAAAGACCAAATCACATGAGACCGCCACATACCAGAAGGACTCGAGCAGTTTAGTGACAAAAGAGGCACCAGGTTTGGCCATCAGCAGGCCAATACTTCCGGCCTGGGGCCACCCGTTGTAGATGGGCCAGTCCAGGGACATGACGCTGGGGTACCGTCTGATCTCCAGGGAGGGTGGGTTGGCCCAGATCACATCCCGATCCTGTGGGGGACATTATCTCTATTAATTCTTATCTCGTGGGTACTAAATTGAGAGTCTTCAAAAAGTGAAACAAATATATAGATGTTCATCATGTGACCTCTCTAATATGGTCTTTATGATGGGGTTTGTTTTTCCTGGTTGTCACCCTGACCCCGTGACCTCTGCCCTAGTGGGGCGACAGACAACATCCGTGGTTGGGGTTTCTTTGAGACATTTTGATCCGAGTTGGTAGGGTGGGGGAAGGAGCAGTTATATAAATGGATAAAAGTATATATATATATATATATATATATATATATATATATATATATATATATATATATATATATATATATATATATATATCTTTTCAAATTTCAAATTTTTATTCAGGGGACGGGGTGGTGCGAAGGGACGACTACAACGGGTGACTGGGAGGGACGACGACGGGGTGGAGAGAGGGTGGGGATTGAGGACGGTAGATACGGTGAGATACGTAAAAAAAACCCACTGTTCGCAGTGAGAATACGGAGTAACGTCTACAGAAAAGAAAAAACAAAAACAAAACAACAGCACGTGACCACGTGACTCACAAAGTAGATGCCGCCAAACTTGCTTAAAATAATCGCCCTCAGGATGTCTGACTTGTGGGCGGGCTCGTTGAGTGCCTGCTGGTAGACGGTCTCCAGGCTTTCAATCTGCAGACGACATCAACAAATACAACATTCAAATTATTAAACAGAAGTGGGGGGTCAGTGGCGTAGGCAAGGGAGGGGGATTAGGGGAGGGGGTTATAACCCCTCCCATGGACTCACACCCATATATATATATATATATATATATATATATATATAGAGAGAGAGAGAGAGAGAGAGAGAGAGAGAGAGAGAGAGAGAGAAGAGAGAGAGAGAGAGAGAGATAGATATATGTATATATATATAATTCTCTTATGGGAGACGTTAGAAAACAAGCTGCAAACGCGCTCCCTATCACACCCACCCCTACATGGTCTGGTGAGCTGTGGTTCACGATAATATTTACATTCGTGGAGCTGGGTTTAGTGACGGCTATTAGGGGCAGATAATTTTGTTTGAAACGATTTTAAACTTAGTGGAGGTAACTAAGAGGAGGCTGCTTTCAAGGGGGCAGGTGTAGGGTAGGGTTTGGGGAAAGTTGAGGGGGGTTATCGTCCTTAACGAGCTACTGATAGCAAATATATTCAGTGGCAGCATTAGTACTGTCGAATTCACAAATTATGAATTACTGAAAAGTAGAAAATAAAACAAACTAAATAGTGGCGTATGATACGCCGCGGGTCGGCTCGTATTTATATATTATACATATGGAAAAATATTTGAACTACTCTCTTGACCAATTCCTAGCTACGCCACTGTGGAGGGTTTTATGTTACTTTTGCTGAAAAACATTCTCGAGTCTTTCAATCTGCAGACGACATCAACATATACAACATACACGTTATTGAACAGTAGTGGAGGGTTTTATGTTACTTTTGCTGAAAAACATTCTCGAGGATTTCAATCTGCTGACGACATCAACATATACAACATTCAAATTATTAACTAGTAGTGGAGAGTTTGATGTTACTTTTGCTGAAAGACGTTCTCAGGGCTTTCAATCCGCAGTCGACTTAAACGTATACAACATACATTACGGAATGGTTCGCTCATAAGTTTAAATATTGACAGACGAAGACGATTTAAACCTATACACCTTACAGTAGTGGTGATTTTGTTTACATTTTTTTTTATTGAAAGACTGTGTCAATTTAATTTTAATCTGTAGACAACTTAAACCCAACCAACATACGATATATATGCCAACTGTTAATGGGTTTCTGTGATATTTTCAATATAGTCCACTTTTTTTCTCTGTTTGCTGTTAGTGTTAATCATAATTGGTATTGATGTTAGAATTAAGATTAGGGCGCCGTTATTTTTAGTTTTAGTTCAGGAACATGTGTATAGCGTGTTTATTGTTAAGGTTTAGGTTAAGGTTACGATTTGCGTAAGGTTTTCTAGGAAAATATAGAAGCTCTTAATTAATTCCCTCAGACGTAATAGTTAAGTCAGCAGCATTTCAAAAAGACTTGGCGGTGGTTATTATTATATCCCAAATATTCTTCCAATCGGCTGACTCATATGTAATCCCCTATAATCTTCCATTCAACTGATTCATCTTTAATCCCAAATATTCTTCCATTTGAGTGACTCACCTGTATAAAAGTAATATGCTTCCATTCAACTGACTCACCTGAACAAAAGTAATATTCTTCCATTTAACTGAATTACCTGAACAAAAGTAATATTCTTCCATTCAACTAACTCACCTGTACAAAAGTAATATTCTTCCATTCAACTAACTCACCTGTACAAAAGTAATATTCTTCCATTCAACTAACTCACCTGTACAAAAGTAATATTCTTCCATTCAACTAACTCACCTGTACAAAAGTAATATTCTTCCATTCAACTAACTCACCTGTACAAAAGTAATATTCTCCCCTTTCAGACGACTCCACCAAATGCCAGTCGGTTCCTCGTCTCCGTAGAAATAGATCCTGGTTTTGAAAAGAAAGTGTATAGAATTTCTATTGCTAACTTAAACAAGGGAAATAATCGCATTTTGTAACAGAAACTAGATGAAGGGCAATGACACTAGAGTACACACCCCTTTATTAATTTATCAAAGCTTGCTTCAGTAGGGATTATTGGAATTTATTTAATCAATGGAAGCAACCATGTCTGTCTACAATTTTTTTAGTGTGTCTAGTCTAAGATGACCTGGTCTAAATTAACTAGATCTCCTCAGCTTAAGTTGTCTAAGATTAGGTGGTCGAGGTTTATATTGTATACATTAAGTTCGCCTTGATTAAATTTACCGTGACTAAGTTTACCTTGATTAAATTTACGTTGACTAAGTTCATCTTAATTAAAAAAACCATGACTAAGTTTACCTGATTAAGTTTACCTTCTCTAAGTTCAGTTGGACTAGGTTTACCGGGTCTAAATTTAACTTGACTAAGCTTATTTTGATTAAATTTACCTTAAACTAAATTTACCTTGACTAAATTTACCTTGACTAAATTTACCGTGACTAAATTTACCTTGACTAAGTTAACCTTTATTAAATTTACCGTGACTAAATTTACCTGGTCTAAATGCACTTGGTATAAGTTTACCTTGATTAAATTTACCTTGACTAAATTTACCTTGATTAAATTTACCTTGACTACATTCACCGGGTCTAAATTTACCTTGTCTAAGTTTACCTTGACTAAGTTTACCTTGACTTAGTTCACCGTGCCTAAGTTTACCTTCTCTAAATGTACCTGGTCAAAGTTAACTGGTCTAAATTTACCTGGTCAAAGTTTACCTGTCTATTTTCGCCACATACAACGCTGACAGTATACACAGGTACTGCTGAAAGATGAGCTCGACCGAGCTGTCAGGTTTTTTCTTGACGGCTATCATGTGACCCACGTTGGGTATCAAATCGTTGGGGTCCTGCAAAAGAAAAAATTGTATCGATCCACATCGTTTCTCTGATTGCCTTTGATGGAATCAGTTAATCGATTTGTTTTTGGTACTCAATATCAAGGTGTAAGTCCAATGAGAAAGGAATGAATGCTGTTCAACTTTACAAATAAGCATTCATGTATTGAGTTGCAATTCATGTAGATCAAGTAGATTCTGTTTATAGGAGCCTGGTACTATATAATGGAAAAGTATATTCACTATTTTTTCTTTACATTTCTATATAGTAAATTATGCTTGTATTAAATCCTCATTGTCTTTTCCTTTTCCACACAAGACACAAGAATTTCCCTCTACTTCTCTCGGTCACCGGAAATTTCCAGGCAGGTATTAAATAAATATTTTATTTATTTATTAGGATACTTTTTTCAACAAACAGGTCTAACTGATAAATTTTGTTGATTTTCGTAAATAAACAACTCAATAAATAGAAATAAAAGCCGAAGTTTTATCGGTACATTTTTTTAATCAGTAAAGTGTACTTGAACTTAAACGGTAAAATATCAGTTAATAGAAAGTACAATACGATATCCTTTAAGATAGACAGAATAGATTTTCTGTTATCGGGTCTACTACATAACAAATAAGAACTAAACGTATGGGATACTACTCAACTTATAGCTTATCTTTTGTTTATTTACACTATCACCGAACTACAAACATGTGTTAACACTAAGACAAAAAGTAGGATCCTATACGCTTACTCTAAAACCGGAACTAGAATCAGTGGCGTCGCGAGGGGGAGGGGGGCGGGGGGGGGGGGGCGGAACGCACCGGGTGACACCATTTAGGGGGGTGACACCAAGGCGAAAAATAGAATATACACAGAAAAATGATAATTTCACCTAATTAAATGATTAATTAGAGTGAATTAAATAGTCTTTTAAGGGCAAAGTGGATAAATCCCGACACGGGTGGAGAGGGGGGGAGGGGTGACACCATGACGTAAAACTGCTAATGATAAAGAAAGCATGCAACAGCCAGCTGAATTTATAACCGAATATAGATGCAAATCGTTAGTATTATCTGAGCACAAAGCAATCACCGTGGGGGTGACGGGAGGGGGGGGGGGGAGTTACATCAACTCAACGTTGCAATATATATGCCTGAGGAAAACGGTTTGGTTGTGAATCGTAATAAGCTAAATGTTAATCCATGTATGGGGTGGGGGATAAAAAAATTAAATACATGCAGCAGAAAAAAAAATTGAATACATATACACATGCGTATACACAAACTTACAAGTGTATATGGAATATATATATATATATATATATATATATATATATATATATATATATATATATATATATATATATATATACATATATATATATATATATATATATATATATATATATATATATATATATATATATATATATTTACGGGCTGGGGGGGGGGGGGGGTGACACCGTCAGACCTACCTGGCTAGGTGTTGCCACCATTAAGTTAGACTTGCCATAGTACAATCTCCTGGCCACACCTGCGTAGTGCGTGCTGGTGTTGACGATGTTCTCAGGGTACAAGTTCAAAGACATGATCAAACAGGGGGACAACCCAGGTGGGATTGTCCTCTCTTGTCTGGAAATCAGCGATTCCACCTCAGCATTGAAAGTTTCAGAGTCCATGCATACGTAGGATTTGTTGAGTACATCTTGTTTAAACTGTTCTAAAGGAATATCTGAAGAAATAAGACCATGTTTGACGTAGATAATAGTTTCTTCGCTGCGATTTGCATTTTTTGATGTGTATGTCACGTGGTTTTCCGTTTTCCATTCCGGTGGGATAAAAGTCAAAACGGCTCTTTCTCCGAAATACACACCACCGACTGGACTAGAGGCTAATTGATCCAACGCGTAGGATAAAGCGTCAAGGGTGTTACATTTGAGTTCTTTGTTTGTAGGTTTGAGGATTAGATGCGGTAAGGACTGTCGAAGTTCTTGAAACCATGTGTGGTAGAATTCGTTATCAAAGGGCAGATGGTTGTAATGGAACACGAGTTTCAGCGGTTTCAAAACCCGGATGACGCTCAACACACCGAGGTAATCCTCAAACCGGAAGAGCTTCTCTCCGCACCAGACGTAATGCGCCGTCGTCGGGGCGTCGCCCGGCATCGCAGGCACCCCATAGAACGCCTCCCCCAGCACGTGAGAGTCCTCCCCCTCTACGCGGCTTATCAAATCTTTAAACAACCTCAAGCTATCCACGTTCTTTGTCAACTCACAGGCCTTCTCTACTTGGATGAACTGTACAGAAACATTTCTGATACCACGGAGTAGATTGCTCGTGTTGACTTCAACTGCTCTAGGAAATTCCAATTTCTCAAACAAGATCTCACATCGATGTTCCGGGATTCGCAGACTTAAAAACGATATGGACCCTATGGCTAGACATAAAACAGAGAATCTAATTATAAGTCCATTTTTTGCCGCCATGCTTTTTACACTTCACTTTAATGAAAATATTTAGTTCTTAAAAACACGTTTTAGATGCAATATCAAATACTAAAACTAGCTTTGCTGACTTTTTGAGTTTATCGGTATAACCAGTTTAAAAACACGTTTTAGATATGTGATATCAAATACTAAAAATAGTTTTGCTGACCTTTTGAGTTTATAACCATTCTAAAAACACGATTATAAAGAGTTTTTTCTCTATAAACACATTATGATCTAACAAATATGATTAGAACATTCGAGAATTCCTGTCGAATATATCCTGTATTGCTCAGCTGATACAATACTCTTGATTGTATACTTTTCGTTCACTTACACAAAACTCTACATCATTCTGAAACTCGTGTTCGTTAGTAAACCACAAAGCTCATTAACCTAAAATTATTGCTCGTTAGTTACCACAAAGTTCCATAACCTGAAACTATTGTTCGTCGATTTCCACAAAATTCTTGAGTCTAATGTTTTCGGTAACTGCCACACAATTATTACAGCCTGAAATTATTTTCCTTTAATTTCCACCGGAATCTTAAGCCGGAAATTACGATTTGTTAACGACCATAAAATCGTTACGCCCGAAACTATTTCTTTAATTCCACCTAGTCCTATCAGTTCCCACACACACAATGGAGGCTGGCCTCGTTTTGAAAAACCATTACACCAACTCAGGTGACGTAGTTGGTTTTAAGGATGGAATTATCTACTTCGATAAACTTAACTGCACCCCCGTCCCCCGTTCGCTCTCTCAAACCCCCACCCGCTTTTAGAAAGAAAAAAAAAGTACAACAGATGAAATTGATTTTCAGACTATATTCGTGTCATGGATGGGCGCGCGTTTTCTATGTTCATTTATAGAGTAAACCAAAAAATAAGGAGGGGGGGGGGGGTTAGGCTGCGGACACGGAAAGGGAGGGTGGTGGAGACGGGGCGAGTGGGGGACGCCGCGGGAAGTACAGTTTACATCACGCATGGCTGATTTCAAACATAGCTTATGTACGTTGGTGAGCGAAACGCTAGCACGTGAAAAAATGCTCGAGTATAAAAAAAACAACAGTTTAATTGTTTAAAAAAAAAAAAATGGCGATTTTGTTTCTGGTAAGTTTATTATTAAGAAAATATTTTATGGGAAGACAGCCAAGGCTAGTTTATGCAAGTTGATTTTTATACAAGCTGATTTTTGTATACGTTTCGTCTACATTGAAGTAAATCGTTTATCAACATCACGACTGACGTCTATTCCAACACATTTCCTAAGATGTCCAAAATAGTTGGGGGGGACTATGGTAGGGCACTTGGGAAGGCATTGTGGGGCACTATGGTAGGGCATGTAGGAAGGCGTTGTGGGGGACTATGGTAGGGCATGTGTGAATGTTGTGTGGCACTATGGTAGGGCATGTGGGAATGTTGTGTGGCACTATGGTTGGGCATGTGGGAATGTTGTGGGGACTTATGGTAGGGCATGTGGGAATGTTGTGTGGCACTATGGTTGGGCATGTGGGAATGTTGTGGGGCACTATGGTAGGGCATGTGGGAATGTTGTGGGGGACTATGGTAGGGCATGTGGGAAAGTTTGTGGGGCACTATGGTAGGGCATGTGGGAATGTTGTGTGGCACTATGGTTGGGCATGTGGGAATGTTGTGTGGCACTATGGTAGGGCATGTGGGAATGTTGTGGGGGACTATGGTAGGGCATGTGGGAATGTTGTGGGGCACTATGGTAGGGCATGTGGGAATGTTGTGGGGCACTATGGTTGGGCATGTGGGAATGTTGTGGGGACTTATGGTAGGGCATGTGGGAATGTTGTGTGGCACTATGGTTGGGCATGTGGGAATGTTGTGGGGCACTAAGGTAGGGCATGTGGGAATGTTGTGGGGGACTATGGTAGGGCATGTGGGAAAGTTTGTGGGGCACTATGGTAGGGCATGTGGGAATGTTGTGTGGCACTATGGTTGGGCATGTGGGAATGTTGTGTGGCACTATGGTAGGGCATGTGGGAATGTTGTGGGGGACTATGGTAGGGCATGTGGGAATGTTGTGGGGCACTATGGTAGGGCATGTGGGAATGTTGTATGGCACTATGGTAGGGCATGTGGGAATGTTGTGGGGCACTATGGTAGGGCATTTGGGAAGGAGTTGTGGGGGACTATGGTAGGGCACGTGGGAAGGATGTTGTGGGGCACTATTTTAGGACAGGTGGGAAAGACATGACACAATATGGAGGTGGGGGCATGTGGTAACGATGTTATCGGGCACTATGGTGGGGCATATTGGGGTCGACAATCTGGGTTAAAGTAAAAGTTTGGTCAAACAACCAAGGGAGATTATCGTGCTAGTGGTGTGTTGTATATCGCAAGCTTTCAGATCAAAGCCTCATAGAGACGGGAGCCCCAGGATACCATTGAAAGATCAATGCGAGTCGAGCATATATATATATATACTTTGTTTCTTGCGGGGGGGGGGGGGGGGGAGGGTGACACCACGAAGTGTCGCACCGGGTGACACCCGACCTAGCGACGCCACTGACATCAGGTGCTGTCGGGTGACACCAAAATGAAAACCTATTTTCTTGAGGCAGAAAGTTGAATTTTATTTTCGCGTTAATTTAATAATCTCAAATACTGTCGGGAATGGCGTGGTCAGATTGTAGAGTTTAAGCATGTTAACCCAAAAATCTCGCGTTCGGATCCAAGGCTCTAGTCTCCCTGATTCCACCCAGCTGTGATGGGTGCTTGACTTACGTGATGTAAGCTAAGTGTTGACCACATCTGAACTCTACTTTACCTGTGTCAATGTGTCTTGGGCACGAACGGGAAGAAGTTATGATGAATACTCTAGAGCAGTGTTAAGTAGAGGAATACCACAGAGGGTGGGGATATCACATAGTAGCCTATGGCTGTACCACAGAGGATGGGGATATGATATAGTAGCCTATGGGTGTACCACAGAGGATGGGGATATGATATAGTAGCCTATCAGAGGGTGGGGATATCACATAGTAGCCTATGGGTGTACTACAGAGGGTGGGGATATCACATAGTAGCCTATGGGTGTACCACAAAGGGTGGGGATATCACATAGTAGCCATTGGGTGTACCACAGAGGGTGGAGATATCACATAGTAGCATAAGGTTGTACCATATAGAATTCATAGTCGTAGGCTTTGTTGGGTGGGGTGAAGCTTGGTAACTTGGGGTTATGTCAATCCCCTACACCGTTTTCGTTGCGAAAAACAACAAATGAAAATCGAGTTAAAATATTGATCAGACAAATATTTTTCTTTATTCCAAACTGGATAAGTAGTTTTAAGTGAAGTTAAAATAATTAGTTTTTTTAAAATCGATATTATAATTAAACTTTACTGTTGACTCGAGATATTTAGCTGAGTGAAAAATAAATTTCAAATAGATTTTGTAGATAAAAATTGGTGCATGTAATGTTTAGCGGCTTAATGCGCATTAACAGAACAGCAGGTTTCCCTGAGCTTAATCAGACCCTCGCTGGTACCTGGCACAGGTTGGGTAACCAAAAGCTGTTTGACATGGCGATGTCAAGCTAACCTAGTTGGGTGTAATAGCCTGATTAACTGATTAGCCGCCATTAATCTTTCCCGATTGATTATCAGGTTGAAGGAAGCACTAGGAAAAAGTAAATGACGTGTTCAGTTGAATTGGAAAGAACTTTGGCAAACACAAAACGAAAGCCGATAGCTAAGGAGTTTAAAGCCCGCAAATGGGGATGGATCGGGCATGCCCTGAGAAGGGGAGAGAATAACATTGCGCAGAAATCATTAGACTAGAATCACCAGGGGAAGAGGAAAGAAGGCCAAAGTAACCATGGAGCAGAGGCGTCGCGAGGGGAGGGGGGGGGATGACATATGTCCCCGGGCGCCGACCTTAGGGGGCGCCAAAATGGGTTGGAAAAACAAATTAAAAGTTTGAGAGAGGGGGCGGTGCAAATCGAAAGTTTAAAGGGGAGGGGGGGGTGGAAAATCGAAAGTTTGAGGAGTAGGGGGGGGGGTGCAAATCGAAAGTTTGTCCCCGGGCGCCGGGAGGGGCCGCTACGCCTCTGCCATTGAGGGCAGAAGAAGAAGAGGTAAGGGCATCCGGGCTTACGTGGGCGCAAATAAAGAGAGCCGCTCAAAACACGAGTCCGATGGAGATGTGTGGTTGCGGCCCTTTGCTCCCCAAGGGCCGAAAAGGAATAAGTCAAGTTGAAATTACAGGTATGATGGATGAGTGTGTAGTGATATGAACACACATTATAGATTCTTGACACAGGAAAATCTGCTTAAGAAGAAAAAAAAAAGTAAACTTTACGGCCCAAGGTAGAAACCAGCTGATAGGACTTATAAACTAGGAAAATAGATGAAAAAAATAAATACCACATTTAAAAAACAATTAGGTTAATTTGACAAAAATAGACAAAGTTAATGAAAGAAAATAAAGTAGACAAAACAAAAGAAAAAAAAAACAGGTGCATTAACCTGTTGCCTAAACAGGTTTTTTTTGAGGATGAGTTGGAGATTTAAATTATACACACACACACACACACACATATATATATATATATATATATATATATATATATATATATATATATATATATATATATATATATATATATATATATATATATATATATATATGTATATATTATATATATATATATATAATCATAACAGTTTTCCCACATGAAATTGATGTTTTATGGCTTGCTTGGTTATAAGATCTAAAGCAGTACAGGCGATATATGCAAGCCGTCACCGGTAGCTATGAGATTATCATAAGATGGATGTTATTATTTTAGCGGTCGATGATCGAGGGGGGGGGTATCACCCCCATCTAACAACCCCCTTCTCTTCGATACGGCGTTGAAAAAAAACAAACCTTAATAAAAAAAAAAATTATACATCTTGAAAATCTGAAAATATTTAAAAAAATTTTTTTTAAATAATGACGAGTAAAGAATATCAATGAAATCCGGTTCAAAAAGACTTAGACGATGGATTAAACCAATAAAAAAGTAGAGGCTAACCTAAACGTAAGTGGAGAAAAAAAGGATTACCAAAAAAAAACATTCATGTTAAATCCCACGCTTAGATTACACGTACATTCAACCTTAATCGTTGTCTTGTTTAAATCACAGACAATCACAGTCTAATTTTAATCAGCTTTTTGCTTCATATTTTATACCAACTTCAATACTTAATGTTTCTTTCGTTTAAGACGCTCTATAATTTTAGTCCACTTTTTCAATTTTAATATCAACTTAATACATAATCGTTGTCTTGTTTTTCAAATTTAATATAACAATATTTAATCACTTGCTTTAAGACACCTAATTCAATTTCAATGGTTACTCTCTGTCTAGTTTAAAATATACCAGCTTCAATACTTAGCCACTGTCTCGTTTAAGACATTATATCAGCTCCAATACTTTATAATACTTAGCCACTGTCTCGTTTAAGACATTATATCAGCTTCAATATTTTATAATACTTAGCCACTGTCTCTTTTAAGACATTATATCAGCTTCAATACTTTATAATACTTAGCCACTGTCTCGTTTAAGACATTATATCAGCTTCAATACTTTATAATACTTAGCCAC